ATTTTCAATCTCTGAGGTAAAAGGAACCCCAAAACTAAGTTATTCTTAAGCATATTGTTTCTTCTCTACTTTAGGAGGAATAGGCAATTTGTAAACAGAGAAATTGTATTATTACTACTCTACTTAATGCCATAGTACCATCTAGAAGATTGCCTAGACATTTATTGACTGTGGTGTTTAGAGTACACAGATCTACAGAGCAGACCAACTACAGACTTAAAGATGAGACAAGACAGATATTGATAGAGTATAATTTGAATAAAACAAACACTACTGGCATATGATGAGAACCTGGAATGGTTTTAGATGTAAGAACTCATGAAAGAATAAACTTAAGATTGAGTGATTTAGGATTCTATTAACAACTTTGGTCACTTAAGTTCTAGTAAAGCTTACATAATCTCAAAGGACATTGACAACCAAGAGATTTGACAGAGATCTGTCCTGTTCATTGAAGAATGCTTACTTGGATCCCTGTCCAATATTACTGATTAAAAGTACACACATAATTTTTTTTACAAATACCTCTAAGCACAGACAAGTGTACTTTGGTTAGTAAAATAATCCCCGGTGTGAGTCAGTGGGTATTTTGAGCTCATCACAGATACTTTGGGGATACAGACAATTCAGTGGTCTGAAGTGAAGAGGTGACAGGCAAAATGAGTGACTCATTCCATTATCCTTGGTCACCGCAGTTTAAAGTCATACCCTATAGCTGAAATATTTAAGCATCAAATATTTAACAGAATATTTATAGAAGCAATGTTCCTGTTTCCAAAATGAAAGAGTGTTTTTGGAGGCCTGGTTTCCACTGGCTCTTCTGGATGTAAAGGGAGTATTCATCTTTGATTATATATTATAAATGGAAGGACAAAAAAATGGCCCACTAGGAGGGTCCATCACAACTAGGTACCAGTGTTCTGAAATAGGCCGCAATTATTACTGCTGTTGCTCCAAAAAAGGCATTCTTTTCATGAAAGAAGATACAGATTTAGTAATAGTTGAAGATGTTTTCTGTTGTTCAAGAGCATTAAACAACTGAAAACTCCCTACGAATATATTTAAAGAAATATATTGGGGCTGGAGACATGGCTTAGCAGTTAAGAGCACTGGCTGCGCTTGTAGAGAACCTGGATTCCATTCCCAGTGCCAACATGGTGGCCAACAACTCTCCATAACTCTAGTTCCAGGGGATCTGATGCCCTCTTCTGATCTTCGCAGGCACTGCAGGACACAGATGTACATACATATGTGAATTTACAGACATGCAGGCAATACATCCATACATGTGAAATAAAAATAATAAATAAAATATTTAAAAAAAGTGGGCTGAAGACTATTCCTGCTCAATTTCTTATGGCAAATGTTTTATTATGCCAAGAAGATACAAAGAGTAAAACTGGATATTTGTATATATATTATATATATTTTTTTCTTTTAAAACAGGATTTTTTTTCTTCCTGAGGTAAATTGCTGTATCACATACATTCAGGATCATATTTGTGGTTGCCTTTCCATGCCATCAAGTTTTTGCATTTTGAGATTTTTCTCAATAACTGATTTGATTCAAACCTAACATTATCTTAATCATCTGAAATGAATTATTACATAAATGCAGAGCTTTGAAATAAAAAAATAAATTAGCAATTTTTTGGAACCATATGTTTGTTAGAACTGAAAGAACTCAAAAAGCAATTGATTTAAGTTGAATGAGGTGGATCATGTCAGTAATCCCAGCACTCTAAAGAATGAGACATAAATGAGGATGGAGGATGATGGGCTTAAGTCAGGACTACATAGTGAGATCCTGTCTTTAAAAATAAAACAAAGTACATATGCTTTAATGGCATTTCTGATTTTAGCCTTGAAGTTAAAGAATCTGAGAAATTTGAAATTGTCATTTCATGGCCATTTTTAAAAACATTTTAGTTACTATTTTTATTTTATGCATATGAGTGTGTTGCCTACATGTAGGTAGGTGAGTCCATGTCATGCAGTGTTGGCAGAGGTCAGAATAGGACATCAGATCCCTTGGAACTAGAGTTACAGACAGTTGTCAGCTGCCATGTGGGTGGTGGAAAATAGACTTGGGTCTTCTGCAAGAGCAGCCAGTGCTCTTAACCACTGAACCATCACTCCAGCCCTTGGGCCAGTGTTTTGACAATACAATACAGTAATTAGAAGCCACTTGTAAAGGGATATTAAATCAGTAGAGTATAAGGGTTGATAATTGCTGTTTCCTCCAACATTAAACTGGGAGATTTAAAAATATTTTTAGAAATGTTACATTAGGGAGAAAACAGTACAAATTATATTCTTGAAGTTCAACTTTTGAACCTTTTGCTTGAAGAGGTGATGAAAAGGCAGCAGTTATACAAAAAAATTCATATGTATTGCCATAACTTCCTGAATGTAAGAAATGTTTTAAATGTCAATGTCAGGATTAGCTCATGGGAAAGGAAAAAAGAAAATCTTATACTGGATATATTTTTAACCTAGAATCCATTTGATTGAATGACTTAAAGCAAAATCCTTGGTGTTTGGGAGCTGAGTAAAAAAGTGCTTTTGGCCTTGTTGTTCGGCTTCTTAGAAGTCGTGGTAATGTCAATATAGCTTCTGTAAAGCTCTTCCCCTTTTTTCCTTTCCAAATCAGTTTTCAAATACTCATTATATTAATAATGTACTAACTATACTTGTAAAAGGGCACTCCTGTGTATTCACTGGCACATTCTTTTTTTTTTTTCCTTTACAAACATGAGAAAATAAAAGTTAAAAGAACATAGGTACTCACTGAAAGACAAATAGTGGTGAACAAAATGTTATCTCTTAGATATTTTTGCTAAATGTATACTCTCTTAATTTTTCCCAACTTTGAACCTATAAGTAGTACTGGGCTTTTATCTGGAGAAATCCATTGTCTTCCAACTTTTCTCCCCCTTTACATGAGCTTTCTACACTTGTCTTCATTCCACTAGTCATTTTTTTCTACCACTTACTGCCCTTAGGTCCTTACAGTGAGAGTCTGTCACTGTCTTCCCAAATGCCTGCAATTAGAGCACTTAATATATCCACTTAGCACATCCATATCAACTTACAGCATTGAAATGCTAAGCATCTTTACTACATGTTTGTCTTAAAAGAAGTAAAAACTGGAAGAGGAATTTCTGAAAGAAAAGATGACTATGCAATAAATTTTCATAAGACTAGAAGGAATATGTTGGGAGCTTGAGGGTTATACTTAATAAAGAAAATACATATTAACATCACTTTATAATCATTAAAGTATATATATTAAAATACTTTGTTTGTAACATTGTCTTCTGGTCTGTGCTATTTTGTGTGTTTATACCTAAAATATTTAATTTATATGTAACTAATACACCATGAGACATTAATGGAATCTTAGCCTATAAACAAACAAAAGACTTTTTCAAAATCTATGTCATAGTCTAGGAAATGAATAAATTACAAAATCTAAGAAATAGATTTGAAACTTAAGCTAAAATAGAAACCCTGAACATGAGACACCCTTGAGAGGTGAAACATGTAGTAAATGTCTCCTGTGTTAGTAGGTCATCATGTACTCTGTCAAAAGAAACTGGGGCACATTTCATAAAATCCTATAAAAATCTGATCGGCTTTGATATAGCACAGTAGGAAGAGTTAGAGTTAGGCTCTCTACCAACATGCATATATCATAAACATAGTTGCTAACTTTACTTGTCCAAACTAATTTAAAATTCTAGACTAGTTTCCTCTGCCAAATAGCCAAATGGCACCAGATGGCTGAGGAAATGTTATCTAATTTGACTCAAAATAACCCAATCAGCCAAATACTTATTAAGCTCTACTCTAAGAGCTATAGAGAGAGACACAGAATACAATTCTTGATTTAAAGTATTGATATTCTCTTGATAAGGAATATGAGAAATAGTTTAACTGTCATGAGAAAGCATATAACAATAACTCAATTTCACAGCATTTATTAAATTATTATTAAAGACTAGAAGAAGGGAACCAGATGAAAATCAGTCAAATAACTATGTCTGCAAAGAAGCAAGCAAATCTATTTATAGTTTTTATGAATTGAATCTCTTTTGTTATATTTTTATGTGATTGCATTCATGACCTGAGTTTCCTAATGCAGTGTCCATGAAATTCATCTTCCTGGGCATTCAATAAACTGGACCTGAGGAGTTTGCCACTTCTGACCTTCTGCTAAGACTGTGTAGGTTGCTGTTTCTATTCCTTCTCTTTCTAGTCAATATAATAATTAAGCTCTAATGTCATCTTTTCTTATTTGTCAGTTAATTTAAAATAGTAAAATAACTTTAAAATAGCAAAGTACATCAATTTTTTAAAAAAATCTATGGAAATCTATTATTTCAAAAATTAGATTTTTTTTTCTCCCATATAAGACAAAAACTTACCTCAAATTTAAGAAGCAATTGTTATTTGCTCATTTCATACTGCAATGAATAAACTATTTTTGCTTACTAGTCTTATTTATTTATATAGAAATACACCCACGGATGACCTAAGAAAACTAAAGGACAAAAACATATGAAATATGTTTTCTTATAAATAAGCAAATATTTTGCTTTGAGTTGCATTTTAGATAACATTTGTTTCTCATTCTGAAGAAGATTAAATATGCTGTTTATATGTCTTTGCTGAAGTCAACAGTAATGCTAACTTTACACATGTATGGTCATTTAAATGTACTAACTCATAGTTTTCATAGTTTCATGAAACTGAAGTTTCAGCACCTTTGTAAATCCATAATTTGTGCAGCAAAATTACTTCTCCTAAAGATATACTACATTTTAAATGTTACATTTATTCCATAGTTACTCAAAGTAGAATTTGTGTTCCATAAATAAAAATGCTTTATGGATGTTTGGAGAATCAAATTTATAGGATTGTGATCTTGAAATTCAACAATTCGCTGCTTAGACACATATTAAGAAAGTAAATAGTTCCCATTTCAAAGGACTTACCTTGCCTACATATTGATAATCAGATCCTGTATATTCCTCCAGTAAGAAAAACTGATTCCACATCCAGCCACGTTTTTGGCGGTGAAGGATTTTACCCTCACTCCTTGGGACACGGGTATCTGAAGGCATTTTCTGGGGCCCAGGAGTCCTTCTGAATGTTAACTCTGGAGAGCAGAAGTGTGGTAGGCATGCCCAGAAAAGAAACAGTCTCAAGAACCGATATATAGTCATAGCTCACTTCTTGAAAAATTCCAGTGTAGGTGAAGAGAAAGTAATCCTGTATTATGGGACTGGACCTCACTGAGTCTCAACTGGTTTCCAACATCTCATCCGTGTGGTGTACGTATTATCAAAAAGCTTCAAAGAAACAAACAAGGTCAAATAGTCAGTGAAAACATTCTGAAAAATATTAGGCTTTTTTCATTAAAAATTTAAAATGATGATTCATTAATAATGTAAAGTGAAATATTTTGTCTCTTTCATGAAACAACGACTAGTTTTCATAAGCATGGCTTCTCGGGAAGAATGTGTATAGCTTAAGAAAAGACAACTGTGAATAAGTTATTTCAAACAATTTTTTAAAATACTACTGTATTCTTTTTTCTTCTTCTTCTTATGGCGTGTTAACAGTTTTAGGGACTTAAAATCCTAAATGTAATAGAGAGATGCTATTTTGTATGTATCAAGTTTTCCATAGTAATTTAATATACGATTAAACTTTGAAAATAAAATATTTATTAAAATTAACTATATAAGATTTATGAAGTATTTGTGAAATGTATTAGTATTTAATTGATTTTTAAATGATGCCAATTTAAACAGTCAAAACCAGCAAAGAACAGATGAAAAACAAGACACTTCGTACTGAAAGCTATTCCTTCTGACTAAGGTAACCTGTGGAACACCTAGGCCTTTCTAGAGTAGAAAAATCACTCTAAAGTGCACCAATTTGTAATACAATTAACACTAATGGGTAGCAGAATCTAGTCAGGGTGTCAGCTATGCTTGTGACATAACACTTCTAACCACCCTTCAGCCTTCACTTTGGTCTAGAACCCTATGATGTCGAAGATAGACTGTGGCAAAAACCTATTCATTTCCTCTACAACCTCCTCCCTTCCGCTGTTTTCTGTATAAAATCTATGCAATAATCCCATTGTAGTATAAATTGTTTGTTTTTTCACTGCATGGACTACTAATTACATACTGAATAAAAACCAAAGTCTAAAGTCTACCCAGTATATAACACTGGAATTCATGACAATTAATTCTCAAAACTACTTTTAAAAAGTACCTTACGTCAACCTCCTAAACTGACTCTTCTCTGGCCAGATTTTTCCTAGTGTGACCTCCACCAACTTGCCATGCACTTTTCTTCAAATGGGACCTTCTGCCAGGACCCTTTGCCTGTAGTGCTTTCCCTGTATACGTCCTGGCAAAGATCCACTTAACTCTGTAAGCTCTTGCTCACTCTGAAATCCACTGTTATGTCATACATCCCAAAGCACTATAAATGCTGCATTTATCAAGTAAACAATGTGACCCCATCACGTTTTCTTGTTGGAAGGATAGTTTGCATTTCTTTTTTACTATTGTATTCATGGTGTCTTAAATAAAAACTTGTACATGGGAGAAATTCAATAGCTATGTTTAATGAAGGAATATGAATACAAGTTAATGCAAATGTCTTTCATTTCCTCTTCTACCTTCTCATATAAAGTATTCATATACAGAAACGTATTTTTCATTAACAATTACTTGTGTTTTGTTATTTTTAGAGATTTTTTAATTTAACATTGTATGTGGGCTATTAAAACTTTCTAGTAGACAAATATTTTATTTCAGGAGAAAATAATAGTTCTACATTATTTGGAGACCAGCAGGACTAGTTTCCACATTGCCTCTCTTAGAAGCATTTGAGGTATTCTAGCATTTACAATCACTTTCTTCCACAACTATTTCTTAGAAATGTTTCATTTTCTCTTTCTTTTATTATTAAACAGACTTAAAGTTTAATGCAAATGTACTTCAGAAATCATCATTCAGATTAATGATAATTCAGTGTTCCCCTGAGTGTATTAAATGTCACTGAGCAATCTATAGCATGTGAAGTCATATAAGATGATCACTGTAAACTCTATTATATGTCATATAATACTCCTCTTGAAGCTTAGCAATGATCTGACATGTAAAACAGTCTCACATCCCATAGCACTGATTTTACAGACATACATACTTATTTCACTTTTGGCAGTGCATACATTGTACCAAGTGTGTGTATTTCCATGTATCAGGTTGTATTAGAGTGGTCTCTAGAGCCCTACAGTGTTCCTAACAATAACGAAGTGTTTGAATAAGTGTTTATTGTGTTCTACTAAAATCTTAACATTTATTGAGACAACAGTCATGTTTAGTTCATCTCATTTTGTCATTAACAAATGGCCAGGAACTATATTCAATACCGTCATTCATTTTCAATACAACTATATACTACCAATAATATTAACAGAAAAATAAATGATATTATGGGCATTAGTGGTATGCATTGCATTTCTAAACTTTCTGTCTAAGATATCAGAGTTTCCATATAAATTAATGTGATCAGGTTTTCAGTATTCTTTCTTCAAATGTTGAACAATAAAATTCTTGAAGAATTATCAAAAGATGCATTCTTCATTAATAGTTTTAGACATAAAAAATAAATTTACTTAAATACATCAAAAGTATTTGATAGAATCACTTTAACAATGAAAATATTACATCAAAATAGAAAAGTATATTCATCCATGATTATTACATTCACCCAACATTAATTTTCACTGTATATAGTCTAAGAAACTAGAAGTAAATGTACAGACATTTCAGAAAATTGCCCATTTATTATAAATACTACTAATTATTATTCCAGCAACCTGACATATATTGTAAAAGATCTTTGTCACTTTGATCTAAATCAGTATTTCGCATGATTAGTAATATTTTCTTTTGTTTGAGGAAAAGGGATGGCTCTCAGCTTCATGCCCTTCTCCCCCATTTAATGGTCCATCACACTCCTGTGTTTATTTGTGTGAGTGTGATGTATATGTGTATATAAGTGTTTGTTCAAATTTAAGTTCATGAAGAGGCCAGAACTGAACTTTGAGTATCTTCCTTGACTGCTGTTCAGCATTTTTTTTTCTTTTTTTTTGAGATAGGGTCTCTCACTACACTTAGACTTGATGACTATGCTAGGAAACAGAAGTCATTGAGACCCAACTCTCTCTGCCCGCTCCACTGCTGCGATTTCAGGTGCACGTCATCACTTCTAGTTTTCACAGGGTCTCATGATTTACAGCAAGCTAGTTTTTCTTAGTTATTTTTCTAGTCTTCGTCACACTGTTTTTAGTAAATATTATTCATAAAAACGGGGATTACAGTATCTACTAGTAGGCTTTCTCAACCTCAGTCTTTCTTATTTAAGATATATCCTGTAGGGTAATAATAGAATTAATTTTCCGTGCTCATTTCACCAAGAATAAATCAATTAAAAGAGTTAACATGTCTGCAATTGGGAAAATAATTTTGGAACTCACTGCAACATTTGAAATCATATTTTTTTAAATTTCTTTTTCATCTTTTCAATACTTTTTAAAAATTGTTACAAAACTTCTAGTATGTACTAGTTCCTCAATAATATATAAATCTGGATAGCGTTCAGGTGATTGTACCTTATTGAATTTCATCCACCAATCAAAGCTATGTTGTTATAATAAGTAATTTATATGTCTTTAAAACTTGACTCTTTAAATTTTAGAATATAAAATTGTATTTAACAAGACTATTTTACTAGATTTAAATTATGTAGTGTTATAATTCAAAAGAATTACGTAGCTGAAGAGCAAATAGCTGAAGGCTAGGAAAAACCAGTGACAGGCAAGGGATACTTCCCTTTCAGTGGTTACTTAGTTCAGAGACTCCCTAAATACAGGCTATTGCCACAGCCCTGATTACCTCCCAGAACCTGAAAAATAGACCATACTGCAGAAGAAAACACATACTTCAGACACAGAACTTGGACCAATTGAGCTGGAACTGACCAGGAAGCCTCTTCTGAAGACTAGCTCTCATTGTATCAAAAGACAATTTCTAAGCTACCAAGGGAGAAAACCAATCAATGGTCCTACCTGACTATAAATCCTGTAAACCATAATGACTGGCCCAGCAAATTATCTCTATTGGCTCAAGAGTACCACTTGGATTTTTTTGTTCGTTTGTTTTGTTCTTTGATTTTTGTTTTTACATACATCTTCCAGGTCACAGTTCATCACTGAGGGAAGTCAAGGTAGAAACTCGGGCCTGGAACCTGGAGGCAGGAGCTGAAGCACAGAACATGGAGGAATGCTTCTTACTGGCTTGCTCTCCTGGCCCCTGCTCAGCCTGTTCTTATACAGCAGAGAGCCAGGAGCCCAGTGGTGGCACCACCTACAGCAGACTGGACCCTCCCGCATTACTCAACAATCAAGAAAATGTCCCGCAGACAGGGCCAAATGCCAATTTAATGGAGGAAACCCCTCAACTGGTGTTTCCTCCTCCCAGGTGTGTCAGGTTGACATTCAAAGTTATCCAGCACTACTGACCACTTGTTAACTTGATATAGAAACAAATCACTATTAAACATCAACCTTTCCATTTCTTATCCCCAAGATCCTGCTGCTAGTTAATGTATTCTAGCCATGCTAGGGAAACTACACCCACACAATCTCCACAGTATGATTGACTAACAAGACATGCGTAATGACAAAAGCCAATTGACATGCCTGTTTGGATGGGGAAATTTTCATGGGGTCCCATTACTAGATGGAGAGTTATAGGCAATCAGTGGATGTCGAGAGAGAATCAATTTTCTCCAGGGACTAACTTTCTGTGGTTATAATCCCAAGTGGGCTATTCCAAACACATTTACACATAAGCCACCACTAAATGGACTCAGTACAGATCGATGATATATGATAGATAGATACATAGATGATAGATAGATGATCAATGATAGATAGAAAGATATATAATAGATAAATAATGTGTACGTGTAATATATGTATATGTAAAAATGTATGTATGATACAGAATAGTCAAAGGCGAAGATAAGAAATTATGAGGGGGAACAATCATGCAAAAAGAGCCCTATCTATAAAATTCTCAAAGAATAAAAAAATAGCAAAATTGACTGAAATTCTAAAATATAATTTTCAGGTAATGATTTAATTGTTATTTGAATTTTTATTATTTTAAATTTTTTTTAGACTTATGTACGTTGGCACTGTATTTACATCATTTCCACCCCTCCCCCCTCTCCAACTCCTGCCATGTCCCACTGTCCA